AAATACCCAGAAAACTAATTATCCATATTATAGGTACTCGCTGTAAACTTGAAACCAATGTTTGAAATGAATGCATGCAATGCGCGACTCAATCGATATTTAACGGTATCTCCAGTGCTGTCTCTGCTGTCGAGTTGACTCGCATTGAGTGTATATTAAGTGTTTGTTTGTCCGCCAGAGGCTCTCGTAGTGCATAAAAGGGCCCAAAAGTGCGTTCATTTCAAGTGTAAGACTGTATTCATTGCTAACATTGGTATTGATTTCGTGATTTGGTTTGCGTTGAAACACAACTCAATACAACTCCACACAAATGGGTATCAAATAGTGTTTTATTGAAAATATAAGTGTTTAACAAAATTACAATCTATTTTGCAAATTATTTTTCTCATAAATACCTCTATTTTGGACGCAATATATATATTGAATATATTTTAATAGCAATTAATAGTTTTAATAAGAAATCAGCGAAAAAGTGATTGTTTTTTAATGTTTGTCGAGAGAAACACGAGTCCATTGCTTGAGACGATTGGTTTGTGATTGTATTGCAAGTGATATATGTTTTGATTGGCAATTGTCTCAAACGATTCATTACTTTTACATTTAACATATATTTTATGATTTGAAGAGATTTTTCTCCAAATATTTTTATTAAATATTTTAATAAAAGAGAAGTTTATATAAGAATTAGTGATTAATAATACGTTAAAATGAATGAAAACGAAGAGACCCTACCATCCGATGTGAGCGCTGTGGAGGAGTCGGACCAACAAATGGCCGCCAATTCAGTGGAAGCGAAGGAGGAATTGATTGCGAAAGGAATTGACATCAGTCTTAAGGAGGCGAACCGATCCGATGCGAGCACTAAAGAGGAGTCCAATGATAGCATTGATGGCAAAGACTATAATCAAGTGTCGGACGACTCGGAGCCGAACCCAATGCGACCACACGTTGAGGACAACCATCTGATGGGTTACGACCGGGAATTCATGTATAAACTCATTATCAGGTATTGATTGCTTTGAATGCATTGTTTGAGCCATTGATTTGAATGCAAATATCTCTTGAAATGTTCAGTCAACTGCTATACGACGGACACCGCAATGTGGCCATCAATTTGTCTAACAATGAGAAGTTCAAGAATTTGGTCCAACCGTCGCGGAAGTTATACCAATTGATAGTGAATGCGCTTAAAATGGAAGGAGGTTTGTACTAATGCACAACACTTAACACATCTCAACAATCAATTGATTGTCCATTAGATTCGCCGCTGAGTGACGATAGCATTCACGCCATGAATCTGATTGATCTCGACTTCGATGCTGATCGCAATTCGGGCTCTTCTCGGGCCAGTCTGTACGACAGCTCCGCCACCAAAGACTACTTCAGGAGTCGTTCATACTCTCCGGACTTAGAAGTGATGCCCCAAATGACTCACCGAATGATCGACAATATGGGACGTATGATAGCAAAGACGTCACCATTGGCTGACCCGATGCCGAGTTTGAATAATGTGAGTCGAAATAGCGACACAATAGGGTTGCGATCGACGCCCGACATACCGATGCCACCACTCGGGCACCCGTTGAGTGGAAGTCTGAGATCAATGACTCCAAGCGGTGTGGAAATGGTTGGCCAAAGCGGTCTCTTGGATACCGCATCTCAACAAAACTTTCAACAAATTGATTTCAATGATCTCTTAACGCAAATAAATTTGGCTCAATTGGCGTACATGAATACCGACCCCACAGCCTCTGTGGCCTCCTCTTCAGCGAATACGCCGTCTCCCACTCCTATCATCCCTTCAGTGCCTTTAGAGAACGGAACCGGTTTTGTCCTGAATGAGGCCGGAATGCGGAACATCAGTCAATTGGCTAAACTCAGTGAATCCCAGAACGGAATGGTGACCAACTCGACGTCCCCCACCTCTATGTCCTCAACTCTGGGCCGTAGCTCTTCTAACTCTGGATCCAAACCCAATGTAATGCAAATTCGTTTCAAATTCGGACAATTGGGTCAACAAAAGGGTCAGTTCTCCTCTCCTCATGGCTTCTGCTTAGGAGTTGACGAAGAGATCGTAATCGCGGACACAAACAATCATCGCATCTGTATTTTCGACAAAACAGGTATTTGTCCACTCATTGGCTGTTCTTCCAGTATTGGTAATATGTTATCATCTTTTAGCCGAATTCAAGCATTCATTTGGAGTTCCCGGCAAAGACGAGGCACAGCTTTGGTATCCCAGAAAGGTATGCATACATTGATTGATTGTTAATACAATACTAAACATATGCTTTGACTTTTAGGTGGCAATAATCCGGACGGCAATCGGTGGAAGTGGAAACTCAGCGCCGCGTTATGTCATCTGTGATAGAGGGGCCGAGAGGTCGAGAATGCAGATCTTCACCCGTTCCGGACATTTCGTTCGCAAAATAGCCATTCGTTACATTGATATCGTTGCCGGACTGGCCATCACTCCGAACGGACATATCGTTGCCGTGGATTCGGTGTCGCCGACTGTGTTTGTAATCGCAGAGTCGGGAGATCTTCTGCGATGGTTTGATTGCTCAGAATATATGCGCGAACCGTCAGACATAGCCATCAATAACCACGAGTACTATATCTGCGACTTCAAGGGTCACTGTGTGGTGGTGTTCAATGATGAGGGGCAGTTCATGCGCAAAATCGGTTGTGAGGGCTTGACTTCGTTCCCGAACGGCATCGACATCTCTGACGCGGGCGATATCCTGGTGGGCGACTCTCACGGCAATCGGTTCCATGTGGTGGTGTTCGACCGGTCGGGAACACTGATCAGCGAATTCGAGTGCCCGTACGTGAAGGTGTCGCGCTGTTGTGGCCTCAAGATCACTAGTGAGGGCTATATCGTCACTTTGGCCAAAAACAATCATCACGTCCTCGTCCTCAACACTCTCTATATAATGTGAGTCAACACAACGTCACTACAAACCACACAATTGTCTATTAATTGAAATACAAAACAAAGTGAAACGTCGATCAATACAACGATTTGTAGTCAGTTTTGGTATTTTTAAATGATTTCAATTTTAAAATCCTATACTTTGGGTCCATATTTAGAAACAAAACGATATTTTAGTCAAAAAGCAATATTAAGTTTTTATGTGTTATTGAAAAGCAATAACTGTTTTCTCTTATAATTCTTACATTTAAGTACTTTTAATGAATAGTTCTTAGAATACAATACAATTGCCATTGAATTTGAATTTTTAGGCTTAAAGTACTTTAAATATACAAAATTATGTTTTTATTATTAATACTATTATTACTATTAGAGAAAATTAGAGAAAACAAATGAAAGCATTTTTCGAGTAAATATTTTGTGATTTAATGTGAAAACAAAAGTTAATTGGTTTAACGTTACAATATTTACATACATTTGTCAACATTTATTACTAGTCTATTATCATTCAAATCAATCGATATCTTATCAATATTTTTATGCAATTTTTTGTTTATTTGTTTTTCCTTGAATTCTCCCGAAAGCTGTGTTTTACTATTTTAAGCCAAAAGGAGTAATCATTTTTCATTATTATTATTATTATTAATTATTATTAAAATATTTAGTTATTGTAATTATTATGGTTTTTGTGAATTAATGATTGATTAATATTACAAAAGATACTCATATTTGCAAATGAAAAACACTTCACTTAAGTGCCATTTATTGTTAATTCAAAAACGAGTTAATTATTTGAGAAAACATTTAAAGTTTTTAATTATAATTTTAATTATTATTATTGATTAGTGATTCAAATATTTTCTCAAGTCTTCCCCACTTTACTGAATATATATTAATTGTTATTATTATTGAATATTATTATTATATTATATATCACTGTTTGCTAACGACATTCCAATCAACAATAATTACCGTATTTTTGATTTTAAAATTTCTAGTAATTAGTTGTCTAGTCATCAGACAGACAGTCAACACACAAATCAAATCTATTATTATATAATATAAAACATTTATTAATTGATACAAAATTATAACAAATGAAACTAAAATGAAAGCAATTATTGCAGGGTTTTGAACAATGTATAAGTTATTTGAATAATTCAAAGCTTTTTTTAAACTTCATTTTTTTCTCAATCATTTATTATATTATTTTTATTCCAAATAATGATATATTTTTTATTTAATAAATATTTTTCTCAAACATTAAAGAATTGATATAAAGAAGAAATAAAGTGTTGTAATGAAAAGGTTAGTCAATTTGGCCCAAAAGTCAATATATATTTTTTTCAAATAGCGGGCCATAAAATACATAATATTTTTCTGTCGCTTAATTATAAGTAAATTCTCTATTATAACAATCTGTGACTGGATTTGAAAATAAATGACATTTACTTTACTATTATATTATAATGTTTTATGAATAATATTAATCTAGTATTTAATTTATAAATTACAGTAATTTTATGATTAGATGTAAATCTAATATTTTTGTGCCCTTTTGGCCGTTGATATACACACTATATATTATTATTATTATATATTATATTAAATTATATACATATTCTGTATAATTGCTATTAATATATGAATACATATTCTAACAATTGTTAACACAAAACATGTGCCCTTTTGGCGATCACTTATTATTGAAAGCAAATGTCAAAATATGTCTAAAATTATATTTCAATCCTATTTCTCGATATATTCTCTGATTTTGTCTGAATTTTTTTGAGAGATACCTCTTTTTAAGTATCTTTAAAAGTACTGAAACGATATATTTGTGTCATTCAAACACACGTCTAGAAAACTGTTTGCAATCTATTTTTGCTTAATATATAAATATATATATAAATTATAATTAATATTTCAATTCTTTACATCAGATTGTCTTTCTCTACTCTATCGTACAATGCATTGAATTCAATGAATACAATCACTTATATCTGTTTTTACATTATTTTTCTGCTTTATTTGGTTTACTTTATTATTGATTATACATTTTATGCCTTATTATTACCATTATTATTATTATTGTATTATTATTATTAATATAAATAAAGTTAAGGCACTTTTAATTGTATCCATTATTGTCGTACATTTATTAATACTATTTATCTAATTATTTGGTGACATGTAAGCATCATGGTATAATTGGCTTCTCCACAGGTTAGTTTATTTATTTCAATTATATTATTGAATACAATATACCTATCATTTTACTCATTAATACATAACTTGTTTTCATTCACTGCTTGTAAGTAATTGATTGAATGTTTGACAACATTTTAACATTTGGTAAATTATTAGGCAATCAATATTAAGTAATACTTGTTTAAAATGTTGTTTGATATGAACACTAAATATATGATATATTTACTATTAACTGAAGGAAAAGGTGAGAAGTGCTGGAATACTAAAGTGATGATAATCTTGACAAATGTATTGAGTATATTCTTACTCAACAATTTGTAATCTACTATTCATTATCTGCATTACGAACCCAACTATTGGTCGAAGAGATTGAGTGTCGACGGAAACGAGATTCAGTTCTCGTCACAACCTTTGAGAATGGATTTATTAAATGCTTTTGCAATACATTTGATTGTATTTAAAGTCAAACTTTCTTTGGCTAAACTTTGTCTGCAGTATCGACTAATTCCCGGACAGAAAACAGCAATAATTGTTGTAAAGTTGACCACTGAACGCAAAACCATGTCTTCTCCCAAACAATGGAGTTCTCGCTAAAGTCTCAAAATATTGGCAGAAATGAGAACTTATTTGGCACTACTTTTGGTGCAAATATTGCAAATATAATTATGAAAATGTACATGCTGTATATTGTATTTTGCAAATCATTTGCATCCTTAGGCACCAGAAACTAAATATTAAAATGGTATTGTTTTATTTAATAATTTTTCAAAGCACAGCTAATTATTTAATTTCATATAAAAATCTACAAAATATTTAACAAAATCTTTATATTTTAAAATAAAAATCTGATATATGAATCTGAAAGGTGAATAACTTACATGTTATAACTTATAAGTGATTGGTTGGGTATTGGGATTGACAATCACTTCTCTGACGATAGAAGTTATCAACAAAAGTGAATTTATTACAGTTAGTAATGAAATAATTGTTACCTATATTCTAAATATTCTAATGACAAGTAATATATTATTTATTTACGATTTCATCAACTAATTAACAAAAAAACCTAATCATCAATTGATGTTAAATATTGATACTGTATATCAAACAAATAATAATACGTTTCTATATATGAATTAATCCAATTCATTGAAAACTTCACGCAACCAAAAGATAAAACCAAGAATTAAAAAAATAAATTGAGCAAATTTTAATTTGAAAAAACATTAATGTAAATAATAAACTGGAAAATTGTGGCATAACTGTAATTCATATGATATGCGGTTTAAGAAAATTCTTTGTCTTAAAAGATAGCAGGAGTTTGAACTTAGACTTAAACTTATCTTTTTGACCTAATTTTATGTCCAGTTTTACTTATTAAGTAAGCATTGAGTTTAATATCAGTCAAAACATTGCTATCATTAGACTAATGAGTAGAACATCCTTTCAATGCTAAACACAACCAGAATTTATTAGATCAACGGCTTATCTGTTAACACATTTCATTTGATTAATCTTCAAATTTTGAATATTTATGAATAGACAATATATGAATTCAAATTTTAATTTAAACATTTTATTCAGAATTTTGAAAATTAGGTGATAAATGATTTATACTTTTGATATAAAATTAAATTACAAATGTTTTTATTGATATTTTATTGATGCTATTAATAGTAAGTACTGTTAGGCTTCGTATAATGAGATGCATTCAGTTTCACTTATAATAGCTGTGAAAGTATGCAATGGATTGAATGGATTGCGTGATCGAGATTTGCAAACCCGTCGATCCACTCGTCCATCCACACAGACATCACTCCAACCGCAACAACAGTTCTCCCATTCAATCCTCTGCCAAAACTTCTAACCAAAGACTAAGTATTGTTCACAACTCCTTACTATTAAATCAATGTCTTGAATCAAATTGTATAAATATTTTCAAATCAAATAATGCTTTCAGTTTTTGCAAAATAAATATTTGAATCGACAATAATTGTAACGTTTGTGCAAAGAAACTGATTGATCAAAATGTGTTCTTCTATTGTGAATCCAATGAACTAATTGACTAACTTTTTATGGTTTGATTGACTTCAAAATGATTATCACATTTAACTTTTCAAACATTCAAATATGAATTGATTTGTTATTTTAAGAAATGTTAAAATGAACTCAACTCTACTTTTGATGAAATTAGTTTTTGGGATGTATTTTGAGATATGATTATCGTATGAAATGGTGAAGTGAAAGATCATCGCATGTGTTTCGAAGAATATCTTTGCCACAAATAGTGACCAAATATGTTGATAAGTCGCAACCAATGCACTGTTTCTTATATAAACAAGTGTTTTGAATATTCAGTGATTTTTGTGATTTCGTGTTTAACTGTAGCGCAATGTCAACAGGAATTTTTCGGTGGCTTTTATTCATTTCATCCGCAATACGCGCACGACTTGCCGGCGCCGCACCACTACATGCACTCAATCCCATTCGGCTTACCTATGGGTGGCTTCTCGATGAACGGCAGGGGACCGGCCTATGGTCTACAGGCATACATAGTTCGTGGGGTAATACCGGTGCCCGTCGTTCAAAGTGTGTCGATTGCACCGCAAACCAAATTCCCGACACCTCTGCAATACATTAAACAATTCGCCTCTTTCTTCAAAATATTCAATTTTCATCGAAGAAAGAGATGACAATTGGTTTACAAATAAATCGACATTTGTTTTCATTCAATTAAATTTCTAAATGATAGTAAATTTATTTTATAATTTATAAACATTTACAAAGATTATAGTTTATAACTATTTGAATGATTGTGAGCTTAAAGTCTTGAAGAATATTTCATGTAATTTGTAATAATGTTAAATTTTATCTTAATTGTTGTACAAATCAAATGTCGATGCATTAAATAATAAGCATTGAAATAAATAAATTTTGTTAACAAATTAAAGCAATTGATTTTATTTGCTATAAATA